CACGGCACACACGAGGTGGGGGGAGGGGGTGGAGGTGGTGGCACGGGGAGGGGGCTCACCAAGGGAGTGGGGGGAGGAGGGGGGAGAGGGGTGGGGAGAGGGGTGGGGCGGCGACGCTTGCTGGGGCTGAAGGGCCGATCGGTGGCATACCTACGTGCTGACAGGTGAGAGTGTAGGGAGTAAGAGTGTGGGGAGTGACTATAATTTGACTAAAGGAGAGACATATGGCTTTTGAGCTGACAAAATGTAAAATTTCTGGGGTTGAAGGGCCGATCGGTCGCATACCTACGTGCTGACAGGTGAAGTGTGGGGAGTGAGAGTGTGGGGAGTGAGAGATTTGAGGGTAAGAGTGTGGGGTGTGATTATGATTTGACTCAGAAGTAATTTTTCTGAAGCTCATGAATCCACTCTGTGACATACCTGCGTGCTGATAGGTGTGAGGAGTGAGAGAGTGGGGAGTGAGAGTGGGGAGAGTGAGAAGTGGGGAGTGAGAGTGTGGGAGTGAGAGTGTGGGGAGTGAGAAGCGGGGGTGCGAGTATGGGAGTAAGAGTGTGGGGAGAGAGTGAGAGGAGCGATAGTGTGGGGAGTGAGAGTGTGTGGAGTTACACGAGCCGGGTGGGCCCGGGTCGGCTCAGTTCTGGTCGCATCGGGTGGGGGGGTTGCGTCTCAAGCCATCTGTCTGGCGAGCCACGATTGACTGGACTGGAGTACATAGGAGGGTTCACAGGGGGGAGCCTGTGCGTATTGATGTGTGGAGATGCATGAAGATGAGAGAAGATGGGTGGGGTTGGGATGAGATGTGTGTGAGATGAGGAGAGGAGAGGAGAGGAGATGAAACGAGAGTGACACTTTCAGCCTAAAGAGACGTACAAGGGACCGGTCACCATCTCAGGTTAGTAATCTTTTTGTCTACTCATTAGTCACGAAAGCTTTTCACTCTTCATTGTATGGCACGAGTTGAATCGAGTCAGATCGACATTAGACTGATTGCGTGCTATCATTAGGCTTAGGTCCGACGTTGAGAAAAAGGGGGAGAGCCTAGTCAAGTCGGCGAGACGAGTCAAATCCTTCCCCCATTTCTCAACATCGGATCTTCCCCTTTTGAGAATTCTCTGAAGGATCTTCCCCTTTTGAGAATTCTCTGAAGGATCTTCCCCTTTTGAGAATTCTCTGAAGGATCTTCCCCTTTTGAGAATTCTCTGAAGGATCTTCCCCTTATGAGAATTCTCTGAAGGAACTTCCCCTTTTGAGAATTCTCTGAAGGATCTTCTCCTTTTGAGAATTCTCTGAAGGATCTTCCCCTTTTGAGAATTCTCTGAAGGATCTTCCCCTTTTGAGAATTCTCTGAAGGATCTTCCCCTTTTGAGAATTCTCTGAAGGATCTTCCCCTTTTGAGAATTCTCTGAAGGATCTTCCCCTTATGAGAATTCTCTGAAGGATCTTCCCCTTTTGAGAATTCTCTGAAGGATCTTCCCCTTTTGAGAATTCTCTGAAGGATCTTCCCCTTTTGAGAATTCTCTGAAGGATCTTCCCCTTATGAGAATTCTCTGAAGGATCTTCCCCTTTTGAGAATTCTCTGAAGGATCTTCCCCTTTTGAGAATTCTCTGAAGGATCTTCCCCTTTTGAGAATTCTCTGAAGGATCTTCCCCTTTTGAGAATTCTCTGAAGGATCTTCCCCTTTTGAGAATTCTCTGAAGGATCTTCCCCTTTTGAGAATTCTCTGAAGGATCTTCCCCTTTTGAGAATTCTCTGAAGGATCTTCCCCTTTTGAGAATTCTCTGAAGGATCTTCCCCTTTTGAGAATTCTCTGAAGGATCTTCCCCTTTTGAGAATTCTCTGAAGGATCTTCTCCTTTTGAGAATTCTCTGAAGGATCTTCTCCTTTTGAGAATTCTCTGAAGGATCTTCTCCTTTTGAGAATTCTCTGAAGGATCTTCTCCGCCAACGTGCGATGAGACAAGTCAAGACTCCCCTCGCTTGCTCGTGGGTGTTGTGGTGGCCATGGTGACCATGTGACCATGACTTACTATGTTGAAAACACTTTTGAGAATTCTTTAAAGTGATTCCAACGTTGTGTGGTGGCCATGGTGACCGCGATTTACTATGTTGAAATCACTTTTGAGAATTCTGTAAAGTGATTCCAACAGTGTGGTGGCCATGGTGACCGTGACGTGACTTGCTGCAAGGCCCCTCATTATCCCCCTTCGCCTTCCCTTCCGCCCTGCACCTTTACTTCCACCCTCCCAAAACCCCCCCACCTCTCGCCCTCCTCTACTCCCCCCCCACCTTCCCACTGCCCTCCAGCTCGGGCCTTCTTGCGTCACCGGTCTGGCTGCCAGCGCTGCAGCAGCTGGGTGTGAGCAAGGGGCACGCGGGCAGGCAACGCGGGGACTCGGGTGCAGGGGAGGGGGATGAGGTGAGCGAAAAATAACCAGCAGCATAGACCGTAACGATTTTTCTAAGTGACTTTTGAGTCGACTCAAAAGGCATCTAATACCCAGCAGCATGGACCATAATGATTTTTTCTGGGAATTCTTCAGGCGCCTCAAAAACAATTTTAGAGGGGCCTAAAAAACCAGCAGCGGGCTGTAATGATTTTTCTGAGTATTCTCACAAGTGAGACCAATTTGGCATGGACCGTACTAAGACCTGCCTTCCGTTTTGGAGGTGCCCTTAAGATTGTTTTTTTGCATGGACGGTATAAAAACCTATCCTGTGTTCCGCAGGGTTTGAAGTTTAGGGTGTCCTGTGTCCACTGCTCCCCATCCCTCCATGCTTCCTGCCCCCATTCCTTCTCCCTCCCACCCTTCCTCCGCTCCCTCTCCCTATTCACCCCGGTCTCCCACCGTCAGGCCCTCTTCCTTCCCCCGGCACTAACGGACGAGCTCGCCGCCTCTTCAACGCCTTTGCCCACCGATTCCGATGCGCCATCGGTGCTCCCATGCCTGCAGCACACCATGCCACCTCCGGTGCTGCTTCTAGTGCTACCGCTGCTTCTGTGGCAAGAACTGGGGAGGCAGCAGCAGCAGGGGCAACAAGGGCAGCAGGGGCAGCAGGGGCAGCAGGGACAGTAGGGGAAGCAGCCATCCCCATCCCCATGCCTCGCATGCCCCCGCACTGGCCAGTGCTGTACCTTCTGCTGCATGCATGCGACAAGCTCACATTGTTTGGCCTTATCCGCAACGCCTCCGTGCACGTGCTACAGAGGTGGGTCTCCTCGATTGATCCAGCTCTGCTCTGGAAAAGGCCATGTTACTCGAATGTTGAGAGTCCACTCAAAAGTTTTACCTCTATCTGTATCTCATTTCCCATCCTCGCCTCCCGCCCCGTGCGCATGCCCTCTCGCTCTGCCCACGGCCCCCACCAGCGCCATAGAGCGGCTCGTACTAGAAAGAACCCCTGTGGCAGGCTCAAACGTGCACCCAACCCCCTCCTCACCTCCTAGTCACACTTCTCCCACCTCTACTCCCTTGGCTCCCGCCCTTCCCACCAGCCCCATGCACGTCCCCTCAGTGCCCTCAGAGCTGTACCGCCGCCCATCCCTGCTGGTGCTGGAATTTATTGCTTCCGTTCCTTCTTTCCCCTCGCCCATCCCTTTCTCCCAGCCCCATGCACATGCCCTCTGTGCGCTCAGAGCTGCATCGCCGCCCATCCCTGCTGGTGCTAGAGTCGCTGCTGCATGCACTGGCACGCACCAACCTGCTCAGCTGCTGCGGGGGCATCGAAGACCACTTCTGCCGCCTGCCCCCGCTGCTGCGTGGGGCAGGGAGTGGGGTTGGAAAGGGGGAGGTGGCTTCTGGTGCAGGTGGTTTTGATGCAGGCATGGCTGGGGGGAGTGTGGCTGGGGATGGTGGGGGGATGGTAGAGCGAGGCTTGGGGAAGGGAGGGCAGGAGAGGCGAGGAGAAGAGCGTATGGCACAGAGGCGTGAGAATACTTGGAGTTTTGCTGGTGGTGATACTGCTGATGCGAGGGGGAATACTGGGAGCACTGATCTTGGCCAAAGATCTGTTAACGAGGAAGACTATGATGAGGATGAGGTGGATGGCAGAGGGAAGACAGGGAAGGTGGTGGGGGGACAGGGCGCAGTGGAGGGGGCTGGGTGGGGGGATGAGTATGGTGATGAGGGGGAGGAAGTGGGGGAGGAGGGGGAGGGGGAAGGGGGTGGAGAGGGGATGGGTGGGGGGGAAGATGATTATGAGTATGATGATGACTACTATGGGGCACCTATTGAGGAGCTGATGAGTGACTTGGAGCATGCCAATGCGGCACATGCCCAAGAGGTGCAACAAACAGATGCGTGAGTTACCGCACTTGTGCTTGTCATTGTGATAGGGGAAGAGATTAGCACGCCTCAGGGCGCAATTTTGTTAGGGGTTGGAACCAATAACCTTCTTTTGCTGGGTGTAGATTTGAGTGACAATAATTCGGTGAACAACAGCTCTATCCTCGTTTGTCCTCGCGAAGTCAACGCTACTCCCCTGCTGAGCTGGTGTGGATCTTGCCACGTCAGGAAGATCTGAGAAGGGGGTGAGATGGGGGATTCTGTTCTGTTTGCGTCAATGTTGTTTTGGGTGCTTTGACGGGGAAAGACTCGGCCCGATAAGAAACCGTTACGAAGCTCGAATGTTGACGGAAACTGTTGCTCTCTCAACTTCCTTTCTGGAATCCCTTCCCTCATCCATGCTTCAACTTGACATACATCCTCTGGTCCAGTACTTTCACTTCACTGGCTCGAATGCTCGAAATTTCAAGATTTCAGGATTTCCATATTTCCTGATTTTCAAATAACGTCGCCATTCACCAAGTTGACGCTGCGCCGTTTTTCGACTTCGACACCCTTCAGACCTGGCATTGCTGTCGGAAGTAGGAGTGTTTGTTCTCGCCGCGCATTCACACTGACATCGAGGCATTCCGTAGAGCGTACACGCGGTAGCTCGTTCGACCCATTTGCCCGCGCGCAATCATGGCCGCCCCGCGCGAGGTATTCGTTATAGGCACAATGGACACTAAATCCGAGGAGCTCCTCTTCCTCGCGTCGCAGCTCAAACGGTCCCTTACCTCCTTAACCACGGCCGAACCGCCATTTTCCATCTCTATAATCGACGTCTCCGCGTCTCCGTCATCCGCGGCTCCCGTTACAAGCACAACATTCCCTACAATCTCCGTCTCCGACGTCCTCGCGTCGAATCCAGGCGCCGCCGCGAAATCCGCCGCGTCTCTCGCCGCGGATCGCGGAGAGGCGGTGCAGGCGGTGAGCGACGCGCTGAAGCGCTTCGTGCGGGGGAAGTGGGACACGGGCGCGCTGGCGGGCGCGGCGGGGATCGGGGGGAGCGGCGGAACCGCCATCATTGCGCCCGCGCTTAGGGGACTGCCTGTCGGTGTTCCCAAGATTATTGTTTCCACCGTCGCCAGGTGCGTTGCTATAACGAGGTGTGACTGTAGCGAGTCGCTGATGCCATCCGTAGTGGACTTGGCGCACCCCTCTGAACCCCCTTCACTGAACCCCCGCTTCATTACCCTTTCCCACACCCATCCAATCCCCACATACCACAAAACGCAGCGGCAACACGGCGCCATACGTGGGCACATCGGAGCTGCTGCTGCTGCCATCGGTGGCGGACGTGGCGGGGCTCAACGCCATTCTCCCTCCAACCCCATTGCCTCTCCCCCCCCTTCCCAAACACCACCCAACCAGCGGCAACACAGCACCATACGTGGGCACCTCGGATCTCTTATTACTACCATCAGTGGCGGACGTGGCGGGGCTAAACGCCATTCTCCGCGCTGCCCTCTCCTCCGCCGCAGCTGCCCTCGCCGGCATGCTGCTCCTGCGCGCCCTGCCCACCCAACCGCCCTCCACCGCTCTGCCTTCCTCTGTTGGCGCTTCTGCTGCTGCTACTGCGCCGGTTACAGTGGGGATCACGATGTTTGGGGTTACCACGCCGTGCGTTACGGAGGTGCAGCGGCTTCTCAGCAGCAAGGCCAGCAAGGAGGGAGGCGCGGGGTGGGTGGGGGATGCAGGAGGAGTAGGAGAGGTGGAGACGGTGGTGTTTCATGCGACGGGCACGGGGGGAAGAGCTATGGAGGAGAACGTTGCTTCTGGACTCATTCAGGTGCGCTCGCTGCACATACCTCTCTTTACCCGCCCGCTCATCCCCCCTCACCATGCTGCTCACCCGCTCACCGCACTGCTCACCTCCACCCGCGCTGCTAGTTATCAGCACAGCGAGATACGAATCGACTTGCCGAGATCATTGTGGGCTGGGCGGCACCCTGGCCCGTCCGCGTGCTGGCATCGTCACAAACATCCCCACAAGTAAGTCTATCACCATAGTGAGTCACAACACGCACACCCTCGCCTCCTCCGCTCCCCTCTCTCAAACGGTCCTTTGTATAATATCAACCACTCTCTCTGACTCCCCAGGCAACACAGGTAGCAGACCTTCTATTGGGCGCCACACTTTTGAGTTGACTGAAAAATAGGCCCAGGCAACACAGGTAGCAGCAGACCTTGTATTGGGTGCCACCGCAAGCTGTCTGCCCACTGGGCTCGTGCGAGTCACTCCAAGCTCACCCTTCCCTCCCCCCTTTACCAGCCGGTACTGCACATCACGACAACCGAGGTGAAGGACTTGGTAGTGGGCGGCACCATGGCGTGCCTGCAGTTCACAGTATTGACAGTCACTTCAGCCACACCCCTCCCTCCCCACCCTGTTCTGGACGTCACGACAACCGAGGCAGCGGACTTTGTAGTGGGCGGCACCATGCTGCCGTGCCAGCTCACCACATTCCTGAGAGTCACATCAGCCACGCCCCTCTCTTCCCACTACTCCCCCCTCCCCAGGCTGTGCTGGACATCACAACAACAGAGGTGGCGGACTTCATAGTGGGCGGCACCATGCCGTGCCTGCCCACCAGGTTTGACGCCGCCATTCAGCACAAGGTGCCCTCGTGCTCAGCCTGGGGGCGCTCGACATGGTCAACTTCGGAGAAGCTTCCTCCGTGCCCAAGGAGTTTGACGGGCGCACCCTCCACGTGCACAACCCACAGGTATGCCTGTCTGGTTATTTTCTGGTGCACACACCCCCAGCCAGGTACGATTGTGAGGTCATGGGCGGGCAAGGGGTAGGATTGTAGTGAGATAACGGAAGAGGAGGTTCAACGAAAGAGAGAGTTGATTGAGCCTGAGACAGGAGTTAATAAGGTGGAGAGTTCATAGAGAAAATCTCAGCGAAACGTGCAATGCAAGAACTCCCTGTTGAGGTGTATGTTTCCTTTGGCTAGTCTATCAAGCAATTGTGGACCTTTGGTGTGTGTCTGTGCAGTGTCTCCCTCTTCCCCCCTCAGAAGTTCCGCCCCTTCTCCTGATACTCACGGCCCCCAGGTCACCCTCATGCGCACAACGGCTGACGAGAACCGTCGGATCGCGCAGTTCATCGCGGACAAGATGAACCAATCGCAGGCGCCCGTGACACTACTAATACCTGAGGGGGGCCTGTCCGCTCTAGACGCCCCGGGCATGGCCTTTTGGGACCCCGCTGCCGACGCTGCTCTGTTCGATGAGCTGGAGAAGCAAGTGGAGCAGACAGACAGCAGGAAGGTGGGTACGAAGTGGTGATGACGGTTGAAAGAGATAGAGTGCGGTACAGGTCGGTTCAGAGTGGGGGGCCTGTTGGCCCTGAACGCCCGGGGCATGGCCTTCTGGGACCCTGCTGCCGACGCTGCTCTGTTCGAGGAGCTGGAGAAACACATGGAGCAGACAGACAGCAAAAAGGTGGGTACGGTTAAGGGTGGGAGGGATAGAGTGCGGTGCGGATGTGTACAACAGAGTGGAGTGGTGTTTGTGGAGTTGTGCGGCCAATGCTGGTCTGTTTGGAGATCATAAGCGAGAGGCGTTGCTGATGGCAACAGAAGAAGAAGGCATGGTGCTAGTTATCATCTTTTGAGGCGAATCAGAAGTCGCCGCACGGTGCTGATTATCATCCACACAGAAGGACAATGGATGGTGTGTGCGGAGGCGATGGGTGGTGAGGGAGATGGGTGGTGAGGGAGATGGGTGGTGAGGTTAGGGACTCAACCTCTCACTCTCACTTCCAACCTTCTCTCAACACCCATTCCCTCTTCCCACTCCCTCCCCTCTCGAACGGTCCGTAAGGCAACATCTACACACAGAGCTAAAGTAGCAATCAACTAACCTAGCACAACAACAACCGCCCCTTCCCCTTCCGGCCCTAGTGGCCGGAGGGGTCTTCTATTAGTTGGTACAGCTGGCCCTCGCTCAGTGGAGTGAACGGGCCCTGCAGGCCTAGCACATCCGCGGTGAGAGCCTCATTCATGGGTCTTATCCCTGAGGGCGTTGGCTTGGGCTCTCTGCAGGGTCACGCTCCATCGCTGCCGGTACTCGGTGCGTAGCTTAGCCACCTCCCTCGACTTTGGGGCAGCGTTAAACCGCCGCTTTGCCGCTAGCTCCGCGCAGCTGGGAAGGAAATCGAGAACTCCAGGCGAGGGGTAGCCGTAAGTCTCAACAGCCTTGGCATAAAAGCCCACCCACGCGCTCCGCCCGGCGTATTTGGTCTCCTTCTTGTCCGCCTGCATCCTAGCAGCCCACCCGGGCGCTTTACGGGCGTGCTCGTCCTGGTGGGAGACGGGGTCTATGACTGTGATGTCACAAATCCACACTGCAACCGGTGTTGGGATGGCGGATAGAGTATGCCGTTGTCTCCTTGTGCACTGTGAAGCCTGCTTCAGCCGCTATCTTCGCGCACTCATCTCGCAACGCATTGTGAGTGGCGATTCTCCCCCCCCCCTTTCTCACACCGCATCAGGTGGTTCGGCAGGCGGTCATCAGGGAAGGTGGTGCGGTATCTGCAGTTGCAGCGTCTTGGCACAGGTACGGGCAGGCCTAGGCGGAAGGAGGCCGCAGTGGAGAACTGCGAGGGTCCGAGGCGGAGGGAAGAGATCAAGGGGACGGCGAGCAGCCAGTCCCCCACCCCCGGGCCTAAGAGGGACTGAAGCCTCTGCGTATGGCCGGACAGCGGGTTCAAGTCCATGTTCCGTGAGCTGTCCAGCAGTCAAATATAGCGGGCTGAGTGCACCGCGAGGGAGAGAGCCTGCTGGATTTTAGGCCCGTCCGGCTTCTGTCTCCCCGTCTGCAGAGCCTCGATTCCATCAGGCGGCAACTCGGCTTCCAGGGTAGCAAGGCGTCTCGGGAGGAGGGAAGCGGATTCTCCGTCAGCATCCATCAGCGGCAGGAGTGCTGTTATGGCCGGGTTTGCCAAATCGCCGAAGGAGCGCAGTAGGTGGGCTTCGGAGACGACCAAAGCCAGGTAGGCGTATCTCCCTTCCACTGCAGGGTTGGTGATGCCGAGTCCTCCCAGGGACGCGGGCAGGGCGGCCTGGTGCCAGATCCTGTCCCTCTCTGCCCGGTCCCTGGGGATCCTTGTGTGCGCAGCGGCCTGGTAGGTGAGGAGCAGTTCTTCCCCCCACGCGGACCATTCCCCCCACGCGGACCATTCCCCCCACGCGGACCATTCCCCCAACGGAAAGGCCTCAGGTGGCGTGGCTCTGGCCAGGAACGAGGCGCGGCGGCTCACGCAGTGTGTGAGCAGTAGCAGGCAGAGTTGGGGGTCCATCTGGGGGAGGAGCGTGAGTGGTTCGGCAGCTGCAGCAAGACGTTCGCGTATTCGTGCCGCACTGCCGGTGGGGTGCCCAATGGGGCTGCCTAGGACGCGGAAACCGTCCAGGGAGATCGAGATGCCAGCGGGTAAGGTGGCGGGTTTCTAGTGCAGCTGCGGACCACGCCTCGCATTTCGCCGGGTTGTGGGCCAAGCCATGACGGCGGAGGGCTTCCGTGAGGTGAGTGAATGCCGCCGTGCAGCTCGCCGCCTCCCCTAGCAGAGTGATGTCATCTGCATACCGCGAGAAACACCACGTCCGGATGTGCCGCTGCCGATTGGACGAGGCAAGGGTGGATGCTGGCTGCGAACAGCATGGGTCCCAGCGGGTCACCCTGGCGTACGCCCCGAGCGCTCTGTAGTGGCTCCGCCCCAAAGTCATGGTCGAGATAGAGCACGGATGAGTGGCCGTATGAGAAGCGGACGAGGGGCACCAAGACTTCGAGGTCGGTGCCTTTCAAGCCTTTGAACACTGCCGCACGCTCCACTGCGTTGAAGGCGTTTGCTAGATCAATCTGCATGGCCGTTGCTCCTGGGAACTCCTCCAGGTAGGTGCGCGCGGTTTTGTATCGCCGCCTCTATTCCTCCTGCGATTGCTACTCCAAATTGAAGCGGGGTGAAGTGCTCGCGCGCCGCTGGAGCGGCCAGAAAAAGGGCCGCCTTGGCGATGAGGCGATGGGCCGCCTTGGCGATGAGGCGTAGCAGACATTCACCCACAGCTATCGGCCGCGTTCCGCCCTGCGGTTTCGAGGAAAGCCAGTAAGCGCGACGCTGTTAGGAGATCTGCCACGTCTGCATTCAGTTTTCCAGCGAGCGCCGTGTTGGTAAGTGCGTGTAGCTGTAGGAAAACGTCTCCGTTCCCAAGGGCCGCGTCTCTCAAGTGCTCGAAGGTAGTGCCTGAGGGCCCAGCCCCTACTCCGTTGGGGCATTTGGCTAGCAGTCGCCTGAAGTCCCGGGCAGCGATGAAAGGGACGGTCTCTGGGGCGAAGTCATGTACCCAGGCTGGGATGGCCGCGGTGGCCTCTGGGTGTCTGGCTGTGAGCGTACTGAGGACTTCAGCGCTCGGCGTGCAGACGGGCATGGCAGTCAGAGTCTGCAGTGATTTCGCCAAGTTCCCTCTTTTTGCCAAACCTTCGGCCCGCGAGAGCTTGCCAGTGACGTCAGGTACGTGGCGTGGTTGGGGATTACTGGTAACCGCGTCAGCTGCCTCGTCGTACAGGTTACGCCATTGGCCTTGGCGAAATAGCAGAACATTCGCTTGCCCCACCACATCAACGATCCTGCCTTGGCTGCATTTTGAGGTGCCAAACTCGATCTCTCTCTCTCTCCACTCCCATTCTCTCGCCCCCCCACTTCCTCCCACCTTATCACGCCCTCGTAGATCATTCGCCTGCCCCACCACATCAGCGACCCTGCCTTCGCTGCTGCCCTCGTCAACGCTCTCCTGCCCCTCCTGCCATCCACCACTGCTCCCGCTGCTGCTGCCCCACCTGCTTCTGCTGCTCCTCCCCCTCCCCAAACCTCCGAACCAGCTTCCGCCACAACCACCCCTGCCCTCTCCACCTCTCCCTCCCCTACTCCACCCCTCTCCACCACACTCAACCCACCTCCTGCCCTCGACCTCACCCCCGATCCCCTGGCTGGTCGACCGCCGCACCGCCATCCTGCACTCCCTGCGTTCCCAAGTGGCGGCAGGGAGGGCGATCATAGGGGGCGGGGCGGGCACGGGGATAAGCGCCAAGTGCGAGGAGATGGGGGGCGTGGACCTGATTGTGATCTACAACTCGGGCCGCTTCCGCATGGCTGGCAGGGGGTCGCTGGCGGGGCTGCTGCCGTTTGCCGATGCCAATGCTGTGGTGGAGGACATGGCTAAGGAGGTGCTGCCGGTGAGTTGTGATTGCGGTGAGCAGCGGCATCTGATGGTATTTAGAGGTCCTGCTGGTGAGTGCGACAGCATTGCGAGGAGATGGGAGTGCAGAACTTCCCCACAGTCGGCCTCTTCCCCACAGTCGGCCTCTTCCCCACAGTCGGCCTCTTCCCCACAGTCGGCCTCTACGACAGCTCTTTCCCGCACCAACCTAGAGGAGACCGCCCCTTCTCTTCCTAAACTCTCACCCCCCTCCCCTCCCCTTCTCTCTCCCCTTCTCCCCCCCGTCCCCCCACCCCCACCCCCACGCCCCCACCTCCACCTCCCGCCACTCCCCCCAGGTAATCAAGTCAGTGCCGGTGCTAGCAGGCGTGTGCGCCACGGACCCCTTCCGCCAGATGCCTCTCTTCCTGCGCCGCCTCGCCGCCCTCGGCTTCGCGGGGCGTCCAAAACTTCCCCACAGTGGGCCTCTACGACGGCTCTTTCCGCACCAACCTAGAGGAGACCAACATGGGGTACCCGCTCGAAGTCGCCATGATTAAAACGGCTAGTCTCCTGGGTTTCCTCACGACGCCGTATGCGTTCAACGAGGAGGAGGCGCGGAGCATGGCGGGGCGCGGGGGCGGATGTGGTGGTAGCGCACATGGGGCTCACGGCAGCAGGCAGCATAGGGGCGAGAACGGTGTGCTCTCTAGAGGAGGCGGTGGGGCGAGTGCAGCGCATGGCTGATGCTGCTAGAGGGGTCAACCCCAACGTCCTAGTGCTGTGCCATGGTGGTGAGTGGTGCTGTGCGTGCGGCAACTGGGGGGTTAACTGGGGAATGAACGGGCTTTCAACGTGGGGGTGGTATCCTCCCACCCACCTGACCTCCCTCCACCTTCCTCCCACCTTGACCACACTCCACCTTCCTCCCGCCTTCCTTCTCGTGTTCTTGTTCATGCCACTTTGTGTGCTCCTGCCATGTCCTGCACCCCCACCAGGTCCCATCAGTGGTCCAGAGGAGGCGAGGTACGTTCTGCAGAACACGCGGAGGGCGCACAGCTTCTATGGCGCGTCCAGCATGGAGGCCCGTCCCTCATCCATTTCCACCTTGCTTCTCTTGCCCCTGCCAATCCCTGTATGTACCCCGCCAGGTCCCATCAGTGGGCCACAGGAAGCGCGGGTACATTCTGCAGAAACACGCGGGGCGTTGCACGGCTTCTACGGCGCGTCCAGCATGGAACGGCCTGCCCGTGGAAACTGCAATCACGGAGAACCTCAAGGCATACAAGGCCATTCGCCTGTCTTCCTAAGCCGTGTGTAAGGAGAGATCCTTTCTGAGACACCTAAAAAGCGCGTCCAGCATGGATGGGGCGCCCTGCCTGTGGAAACTGCCATCACTGACAACAGGCATACAAGGCCATTCGACTCGCCTGCCTTCTTAGGTCGTTAAGCCCAGGGGACAATTTTGGAGACGTCTCAAGTATTGGAGCCTTGCATGCATAGGTACTAGTTGGGGATTTGGCGACTGGTTTGGATTGGTATCAACTCAACAATACAATGTCTAGTTTGTGTGTTGATGTACCGTATTTACCTGGCTAATGGACCCCCCTAAATTTATAGACCCCCGGGTCGTTAAATGGGGGGGGCGGGGGGGGGGTCTAATGTTATCACCACTTTCATAATAGACCCCACCTTTTGTAATGTATCCCGGATTAGACCCCCTCCACTGTAGAAAGCTCATTTTCGGCAAAACTGTAGCGAGACTCATAGTATCAAGGTAGCGCAAACACTGTTCTGGCTGGAAATTTGACCATGTGCATGTCTCGCGTCAGTGCGTGGTCAAAATTTTCCCGATGCGATATCGAAATGGTGACCTCCCTTATGCTGTAACACTCGTGTTTGTGTTACGGGTGCAATGAATCGAAGTAGTGAGAATTGCACTAAGGTGTCAAACGAGTACAAAATGTGAGCGAAGGCATGAGCGAACATTTATATGCGAAACATGCAAACGGTAACGCGGTGCGTGCGAGCTAGCTAGTGCTATGCTGGAAGCGAGGCTTGGGCTAGTCCCGAAGCGTAGGCCGATACGGCCAGGCCAGCAGTGCGAGGTTTGGTGAAACAGTGCGCGCGAAGTCGGCGAAGCCCCGTTAGCAGTAACGGGTGCGAACAACGGCTGCTGCTGTACGCGATGTTACAGGGCGCGCTAAGGAATATCGAGAAAATTCTGTCAAACATTCATACTATAGTCTTGCTAGGCTGTAGTGGGGTAGACACTATGGGGTACAGTTTCCTAGGGTTTCATATTTGTACCCAACTCATTTCTAGTCATCATCATTCCTCGTAATTCTTTTCACATGGTATAGAGCGAGTTCCCTAGTGGGAACGTTTTTTTTAAGGGCCCACCACTACGAAAATATTTTTTTCCTTACCTGCCCGGAGCGCGCTTCGCGCCTGCCTTAGTTGCGCCCCGGTGCGCCTGCCCCCCCGTCGCCTGCCCTGCCCCTTAGAGGCCCGTCGCGCCCCTTACGGCCCCTTCGCGGCCCCTTCTCGGCCCTTCGCGGCCCCTCTCGCTGGCCCTTCGCGGCCCCCTCACTGCCCTTCGCGGCCCTCTTCGCAGCCCTTCGTGGCCCCCTCACGGCCCTTCGCGGCCCCCTTAGCGGCCCTTCGCGGCCCCCTCACGGCCCTTCGCGGCCCCCTTCGCGGCTCTTCGAGGCCCCCTTCACGGCCCTTCGCGGCCCCCCTTCGCAGCCCCGCCCCGTCGCCTGTCGCGGCCTGCCCTGCCTTCGGCGCGGGCCCTCCTCTGCTCCGCTCGTCGACCCGCCGCTGCGGCCCCACCCTGCCCCTCTCGCCGGTCGCGGCCCTCCACCTGCAGCAGCAGCGAGGAGCCCTGCAGCAGCTGCTGTCCCTGCCGCCGCCGCCGAGGCTGCCTCCGCCGGTGTGACGAGCCGCCGCCGCCGCTGCCTTCGCTTCTGCCCCCGGCCCTGCCCTGCAGCCGAGCCGCGGCCCTGACCTGCCGCCCAGTTGCGGCCCTCGACCCTGCCGGCGCACCACGGCCTGCCCCACCAGTAGCGGCCTCCCTACCCACCCGCCCCTGGTAAGCGCACCGTCGAACCGCGCCGCCCTGCCTAGCCGAGCCGCCCTGCCTAGCCGCGCCGCCCTGTCGAGTCGCGCCACTACTGCTGCTCCTGCTGCTCTTACTGCTCCTGCTACTGCTGTCATGGCTGCCCCCAACGTACTCAAATTCGATGCTGAGGGCGTCTCCGAGCGGTAGATTTTGAGGTCTGGGTCGATGATCTACAGCTGTTCCTGCAGTGCGATAGCAAAGATCAGGTCTCGCTTTTTGATCTCACGTCTGGCGCCTCTGCTGCACCTGCTGCCACTGCTGACAGTGCTGTTCGCTCGCAGTGGACCACGCGCGATGCTGCTGCCCGCCTTGCTATTCGTAGTCACCTGTCGTCTGCTGAGCGCGCGCACTTTAGTCAGTACAAGACCGCTAGGACTCTGTACGACGCTGTTGTTGCGCGCTACTCCTCCCCTGCCACTGCTGCCCTTAGTCGCCTCATGCTGCCGTACCTGTTCCCTGACCTAGCCGCTTTTGCCACAGTCGCTGACCTCATTACCCACCTCCGCACTAGTGACACCCGCTACCGCGCTGCGCTTCCTGCCGAGTTCTGCGCCAAGAACCCCCCCCCTATGTACATCACTCTCTACTACCTCGTCACCCGGCTCCCTGACTCCCTTTGCTCGGTCAGGGACCACTTCCTCTCCCTCTGCCCCACCACGCTCACCGTTGACCTCCTCGAGGAGCGCCTCCTTGCAGTTGAGAAGAGTATCGTCGCTGTAGGGGCCTCTCGTGGTGACCCTCGCGCCCCTTTCTTTGAGGGGTGCTCCCCCTCTCCCCTCTTGCCCTCTGTTGCCTCTGCTGCTGCTGTCGACCTCGTTGGCACCGAGTCGGTCGGCGCTGCGTCTACTCCTAGTGGGAGGCGCCGCAACAGCAAGGGCAAGGGGGGCAAAGGGGGTGGAGGGGGCGGCGGGTGGCGGCGGTGGTGGCGGTGGAGGTGACGGAGGGGGTGGGGGTGGGGGTGGAGGTGGGGGGGGAGTGGTGGCTCGGGTGGGGGCTTCGGTGGCGGCGGGTGGAGGTGGAGGCGGCGGAGGCAGCTGGGAGTGGGGGTGGAGGTGGCGGCGGCGGAGGCGGAGGTGGGGGTGGCGGGGGCGGTGGTGGGCAGCGGGGAGGCGCTAGCGGTGACCAGCGCCAGCAGCAGCAGCGCTCCCGTGAGACCCTGTCGCCTCAGCAGCTCCGTGAGTGGTATGCTGGGCGTGGGAGGTCTGGGGGTGCTGGTCCCTGCACTTACGTTCTTCGCACCGGCGACCGCAGTGGAGAGACGTGCGGCGGCCCGCACACCACACCTCGCTGCTTCGGCCGCCTGACTGTCGCCTGGCGTACACAGTTCCCTGGCTCTGCTGAGATCCCTCGCTGGGATATTCTGCTTAAGTCGGGGGTTGCTATCTTGATCTTGACTATGATGCTATCCTTGCTGCTATGTATGCTGTGTCTATTAGTGCTGAGGGTGACTGTTACCTGTGTGTTCGCCCGACCCGGGCATTGAGGCTGCTGCGCTAGGTGCTAGTGCGTCTACTGCTCCAGGTGTTGGTGAGACTGCTCTCTCAGGTACGCGTCGGCTCAGGTCTTACACACTTTTACCCCTTGACTCGGGTGCTTCCCGCTCCTTCTTTCGCGACTGCACCACACTCTCGCCGCTCAGTTGGCCTGTGGTTGTCTCTCTGGCTGACCCCTCTGGTGGGACCAGTTGTGGCCCATTCCTCCACTGTTTCTCCCGTGTCCTGCGGCTCCGTCCGGCTCGCTGTCTGGTTTTCACCTCCCCTCGTTCTCTACGAACTTGGTGGCGGGTGCTGATCTTCAGGATGGGGGTGTTCACCAGTTCACCCCTGCCTATCAGCGTGTGACACACTGCACGTGTGCTCGGACGGGTCGTCACCTGGCCACGTTTACCCGTCGGCCAGGGTCCAGCCTGTACACCCTTACCACTGAGTCTCCTCCTGTCACTGCGACTGGTCAGGTAGCCGCGTCGGGTAAGGTGTTTGCTGCAGCGTCCCGGTCTGGCCCTGAGTCTGCCCCCTGCTCGTGTCGCCTCCTGTCTCACGAGACTCTCCTTTAGCACCACCGCCTTAGTCACCCCTCCCTGCCTCGTCTCAGAGGCATGGCCTCCCGTGTCTTATCTCTAGTCTCCCCCCTTCCCTTCCCTCCTCTTCCTCCGGGGCCTGCCCCTACCTGCGTTCCCTGCGTCGAGGGTCCTCACCCTCCTCCGAGTTTCCTCCGACAGAGGCTCCCCTGCAGACTCTTCACATGGACGTTGTGGCGGCCCAGCCTGCGTCCGTGGACAGGGTCCACGAGCGCTACTTCCTGCTGGTTGTGTGACGACTACTCGTGTTACACCACAGTCTTCCCCTTGCGCCGCAAGGGTGAGGTCACTGAGGTGTTGATCGACTGGATCCGTGCTGCTCGTCTCCAGCTCAGAGAGAGTTTAGGCTCGGACTTTCCTGTTGTGCGTCTGCACTCAGACAGAGGTGGAGAGTTTTCCTCCGAACCTTCTGCAGGCCTACTGTCGGGCGGAGGGGCAATCCGCCAGACGTTCACGCTTCCGGCCTCTCCACAGCAAAATGGGATTGCTGAGCGCCGCATTGGCATAGTCATGGATGTCGCTCGTACGTCTATTATCCATGCGGCT